CGAGCGCTTCGGAGAATGTGCAGTTTGCAGCAACAACGGCCACTGCCGACTGGTTATTGCCTTACCTCGACTCTTTCAAAGGCCGGACTCCTGCTGGCGAGAGAGGGAGAGAGCAGGGGGTTTATTGGGTAGAGCATTTAAATGCACACCACCACCGCTGCCAGCAGCAGCAGTAGGAGGAAGGAAATGGAAAAAAAGGAAGGCCACCAGACACCACGGCTATGGCATCTTCGTGGGGTATTCCCAGTAGCAGCCGCCGCCACGACCGCCTGCTACCTCGAAGAAGAGACACTTTGTGTCTGCGTGATTAATGGGTGCCTGTGTTCGCGTGCCACTCGGGTGTACAGGCCAGCGCGTCTACGTAGTACGTGCCATACAATACAGAGAGGCGCCGAAGCAGCATCAGAAGATGATAAATGAAGTGCGGAAAAGTTCACGTTGCCCCAGGGTATTGGAGGTTCACTAAACCCACTTTCTAGTGGCTTCTGTACAGAACCTGGGGCACCCAACCAACAGTCATTAGTCGTGATCTGAAGCAACACGGCGGACGGGTAAACTTGGGCACCTGACTTTCATCGATGTAGGCAACCTTGGCCTATTTGCCTAGATTTTGTTGTTAGTAAGGAAAACGGAGTAGTAATTTCGCCGGCGTTTCCGCTATTACAACAGCCAAGTGGCCTCACTGCCATCTCCGTTCCCACCATGTGTCTTGAAAAGGTAGACTTATTTTGGGAAATTAATTTCCTGAAGGGTGAATTCTGGAATTTCAGTAGGTGCAAGCATGAAAATGATTCTACTTCCTGCGATCCTGCTTCAAGGAGACTAAAACAAAGTAGAATTTTTATGAAGCTTTGAACACACAACTTGGATATTATTTCAATGGGCAATGTGTAATATTTGTAAAAGTTCGATTTGTTTGCTATCATCCAAACCACAGAATCATCTCAAAAAACGTCCCCAGATATTGTGAGAAATTGAAGGACCCAGTTAACACAGACGTATACCAAGTGCTTGTGGCCCATGTTACCCACATGGACCTTGCTTGTTTTTGGAGACAAGTGAATCAACAGGCACCCATTTCTACTTGAAGATATTTATTTAAGCCTTGATATCATAGTACTCAGGGCATAATAGCATGCCACCATAACGTAAATACTTCTCACAGTTTCGTATGTCCTCTAGAACTATTTGCAGCTGGACTAACTGGGGGAGAAGGAGAGATTACGGTATTCTAATCTAATTCAAATGTAGGTCACCGTTCCTCTGCCACCATGCTGTGATGTGCACGTTGGACCGACGGTCGAACCGGCACCTGGGTATTTATGCAGGTCATCGCCTGTTGTAAGGCTTTTGCAGTTAATGCGTTTTCTCCTTGACCGTATGCCTGCGTACGCCTTGTACAAACGAAATAATAGGTTTGTTTACCAATCAGTCTTTTATGTTACACATCCGCTCCCAAACTCCAAAGTGTATTGTGTATATGTCACCTTTTTTGTATTTAGGGATGGAACCTGATGTACATGTGGAGTTGGTCAAACCTCAACGGATAGAGGATATTCGAATGGGCGTTGAGGTCGAACTGGCCTGTCGCGTCCAGGCAAGCCCACCAGTCACTATGAATAATATCCTCTGGTTTCATAACGGCAACGCGTAAGTGATATTCCTATCAGATGTGAAACTAACCGTTCCAAAGCACTTTTTCAAAGGACTAGTTCCTCATGTGCGTTTTGCGGATTCTAGAATGTCCAGCGTGAAATCTTTTTATGTATCAGCCTACCTGGTCCGGAAAACTTATTGCCGCTTCAATTCATGCCTCCCCCTCTACCCTTCGTGCGCACATGAAGGAGCTTTGGCAGTCTCTAGGGTCATTTGCAGTTAGACTAACGAAGCAGGATGTATTTGGTTTTTGAGGCGATTTATCTTACTTCATAAAAGTGCTCCACTTCAAGGTAAAACCCATACATTATCGCGAACAGTTAAGGGACATTACCGAAGAATAAGAGAAGTTAATCCTGTATCAGAAGGTTTATGCATAGTTTGTCTTGAGAGAAACGATTACTGCAATAAGTCTCGGGCATATCCTCAATGGATCTGCTGGTCATTTTATGAGACAACGCCATTCGCACTTTTAAGAGACCATCGACGAAAACGTTCACATTGAGAAGTGAGTAGAACAATTTTCGGAAATGAAGACATCCCACAGCTGCAAGCTGTGCCTCCAGACAGGCTTGATCCATCGGCCTGATTTTAGGCCAATTGCTCTGCTGACTGATCTATGACGACCAGAACTAACAGCTGTGGTGATAGATAAATTTTCCCTTTATTTTTAACTCGCAGGATGACTCTTCTCGTCAACGTGAATGACTCTTCTTTTGAGATTGCAAAGTAAACCCACTGCGTGTAGAGAACAAGTAGTTTTATTTGACAGTGTATCCGACGCTTGAGAAAACTTGCAGTTTCTACTATCCCGGAAAATCTTTAATTGTGAAGCTCAGTCTGCCACCAAACCTTATTTTATGTACTAAGCATTTTTGGTCCTTCCTAATGCCTGCAGTTTTGGAAGTAGAAAGTGGTTACAAATGACTAACTCAAATAAACCCAGACAATTCCAATGAAAGTGAAAGCAGGTATCTATTAAAAAAATGAAAGCGATTGGCTGCGAGCTCAGTTTGAAATGTTTTTGGGGGTGCGTATCATGTGACTGGGCATTAATACCCAGGGAATTTACTATAATACTACGCTTGTCAGTGATAAAACCTTTTGTTACGGTATCCTCCTCTCCTGTTTGGTGCTTTCAGTGGTCTTATTGCTCCCATAACTTTGCTGACCTTCGTCAGTTTTGAAACACTGGGTGGATAATTGGTGTGAACTTTGGCTGATTAATTCGGCCATCGCAAATGTGAGGTCTGCCAATGCATCCGACCCATGCGATCGGTTAATCGGTAAACATCCACGTAAGCACACCTCGGTTACGCTTTCCTGCAGGTAGGAGGGACCCTTTTACTAAAAAAAGGGCTTCTTAACCTCCAACTTCTAATAGTCTACCAAGCTGCGCTCTTGTCGGTCGACATCGTCAATGTTTGCGTACTCCACGCCGATTTAAATGACCTTGCTCGTGTGCTTACCTGACCTATGCCGTGCAAGTCTGGTCTCTAAACAATCTCCATCTTTTATCTGTTCGACATTAGGAACTCTGGATTAGTGAAGTAAGTTGCATTCCGAGATGATATGATGAAAAGAAAGAAGATC